AAACTGGAGACCAATATCGTTGTTTTCCATTTTCAACAAAATTGGTTCTTTGGCAATATCCAAGAGAGAAAATAACTGTTCTTGACAGCATCATAGACGAAGATCAAAGAGGATTTATGACAGGAAGATATACAGGTGAAATTACAAGACTTGTCTATGATTTAATAGAATATAATGAGAGAGTTATCAGATACCAGGACTATGATTACTTATAGATTTTGAAAAGGAAGACTGGAAATTCTTAGATAATATCGGAAGTTCTATTCGAAATTGGGTTAAAACTTTTTATAATGACATTGAAACTTGCATACTGCTAAACGGATTTGGCTCTGATTTTTTCAAAATTTTAAGGGGCTTTCGACAGGGAGACCCGCTCTCCCCATACTTCTTCATATTATTTGTGGAGATACTTGGTAATATGATCAGAAATAACTCAAACATCCTGGGCATAAAGGCTGATAATATCGAATATCTCTTAGCACTATTTTCTGATGATACCACGTGTATGCTTGATGCCACTGAGCGTTGTCTTTATGCTGTAATGCAAACCTTGGAACAATTTGCAAGCATCTCTGGACTGAAGGTAAATGTTGTTAAAACTAGGATTTTGTGGTTGGGATCAAAGAAACGTTCCAGAATGAAATTATACCCCAAGTGGAAACTAAATTGGGATCAAGATTCCTTCACACTTGATCCCACTGTTGGGTATTAATTTTAGTTTAGATCTAGATTATATAATCGAAACCATCACCATGGACGAAAGTTATTGATAATAATTGTAATTATTGCAAACATTAGAAATCCGTTTTATGTTCACCTGGTTTCATCCTAAAAAATATCAAACCACAAGCGGATACAGATCTTCTCAGCCAATACAATCTGGCATAACTGTGATATCATGATTAACAATAAAGCATCTGATACCCAGACTGGAACTTGAAAGGAATCCACTTTATAAATGATCTTTTGGATGAAAATGGGTGTCTTCTAAACTTCATCCAATTTAAAAACAAATACGATCTTAAGACAAACTTCATTCTTCATTACCGTTTGATACAAACGACAAAAACATAAATCAAGTTATTTGGAAATTTAGAAATAAAAACTTAAGTTGAATTACCAATTTTCCCCCAAATCTAAGAGTGAGTGAGTGAGTTAAGATTTTAGGGTCACATCGGCAATATTTCAGCCATATCGTGACTAAAACAAGGTATAGATTTATGATAATTAAAAAATTAAATTATAAACACCTGTCAACGAAGGACTGTTAAACAACTAGATTATCACAGATATATATTTTAAACTAGTAATTAAATCTAAAACAGTTTAACTACAGAGGACGATACAATATAAAAACGGGCTATACATCGCCCCTAAATCTAAGACATCTCTTTACAGACAACAAAGGATCAAGGTATTATTATTCAACACTTATTGGGAAACACTGTATCAAAACCAACATATTAAGAAGTGGGATCTTGAGTTGCAATGTAACATCCCTGTCAAAACATGGACCAAATATAACATGATACCTTTTCAGTGCACCACCCATTCAAACATCCAGTGGTTCCAGTACAAAATCCTACACCACATCCTACCAACTAAAATCCGATTACAAAGAATGGGCTATACCAAGTCAAACAGATGTGACTTTTGTTCCTACAAAACAGATACATTGCAGCATATAGTTTGGGAATGTGATCTTGTACGGCCACTGTGGACCAAACTTGAAGGTTGGCTAAAAGAACGAGCTCAAACAGAAATAAAAAGAAAGGATACCCACTAAACATAATCATCTTGATTTTCAAAAAGACTATACATGTATTTGACCATAAACAGAAACGATTGCCAACCTTCCAAACATTAATATGCAAAGTCCGGGATTATCAAAATATTACTAAATGTGCAGCTGAAATGTCAAATAGAGTAGATATGTTTCACAAATTCTCATTCTCTGTTTTGTATTGTGTGATTGATACCTGTTTTTACTTTGAAATAGAAGTTATTATTATCCCGGATAACCCAAGCTGCCTGTGAGGCGCTGGAAGGTTAATAGTAACATGCCTTTACCTCATCGGGTATCCATTTTCTACTGGGTGATCAGAGGCAGTTTTGAACAAACTCACTTGCCCAAGGTGAGACCACATGTATCACACGTGCATTGTTGTAGGGCAGGACTGAAGTTCTAGAAACTCTCAGAAGCCAAGCAACCAAACACGGTCACCTATCCAAGGAGGCCTGCGCTCGACGTTGCATAACTTCAACTGATTCGTGACTTGAGCTCTACGCACAGGACCACACACCATTCGTAACTACTCGCCTCTATCCTCGACCCACAAAAACACTCGTACCTGTATAGTACGCCATTATTGCCAAGAATCGTGGCAAACCAATTTAATCGCGCATAGTAAAACGCATTTCAAAACATGAAATGGCGGCATCTTCGGACTTTGAAACTTCACTAAACTATGCAAAACACAATTTAACATCTTTACGAAGGGTATGACTGTATAGCTGTTTTGCCCACGCGATATGGGATATTCTGGGAGTAGCCATGTGTGGAAATTCAGAGTTATCTTTCCTTGGAAATAGTACTAGACTTTTTTTGCGCTTACACAAGGTCCAGTCGTAAACATTGCCACGAGAGGGGTAGGAGACGTCACCCGGCTTGCCTAACACGAGTAGTTTCGAATGGACCACAAATCATACACAACATATAGTGCCCACCAAAATATAGTCATATAGCGTGACTCACGGTGGGTAAAAACTTGTTTACGCTAGATGGTTGATGTTGACATGGTTTCACCATTATAAGGCAGAGACAAACTGAAAAGAAACTGGTTTCACGTGGCTATGATTATAAAGACACTAATGGGCAGCAGTTAACAAAAGCGACAACATCTATTCAATAATCATAATAGATATCTTCCACACTGCACGATTTCAAACTCTCAAGAATGAATTGCTACTCACTAATAGTGATGACTCGAGGAAGGTCGAGGTCAACACCCTTTCCCTTTCATTCTTCGCTCGCTTTGCAACAACAAACAACAACAAACGGTTGGTATTCGAATAGTCTTACTACTGGTTTGGGAAATACTTTAGTACCGTAAAACAACTTGATCCGTATGAAGTCTCTGCCAAAAGCAGTCGATTGTAAAATGTCGTCTATATCATGAATATGTGATTTTATTTTCATTAACAACTCAATCAGCACTATTATGGCTTTATGACAGCGGACTCTGGACCATTCGATCTGAAGATTCATATTATGAGATATGATTTTAGAGATAGTGTATGAATCACTATCAGTTAGTGATTATACAAGGTGTTCGCAAACTTATCCCGCCCCACCGGTGTCACCCGTCATAAAAACAAATAAAACACACGCAAAGGCTAGTTAATTGTTTACCTGAACAAATTCGGGAACGTATGGTAGAAGTTAAGCTGGGACATTGCAACTGTCAACTGGTTCCTAAAAATAGTACATCCAGAATGGATCATGTCGCTAACAGTAATAGGAAATACTTCTTTCGTGAACTTTAAAAAATGAATTCAAATGGTCATAGCTTAGATACAAACGGTTGTGTACACTGGTTTGGATAATGGCACTTATGGCTTTTGAAACAGATGCTGACTTTATTAGAACTTCAAAGGAACTCGTATAATGGTTGTTGGTCCCATTGCAACTTAGTTGTTTGTACTAACAAAATGATTGATATCTCCTCCGGCTTTGTAGTGAGAGGTTGTTAGCACAGGACTTCTTTATGTGGCATTTAGAAGCAGAAAAAGGTTTTATGGATAGACAACGTCTTTATTGCAATAGATGCAACGTTTCAGTGTAGATTCTTACACCGTTATCAAGCAAGTGACACACAAAATTATGCACAAGGAGAATGTATGCATGAAGGATATTCGAGTTTATAGACATGAAGAGGTTATGTCGACATTACTGATAGTTGTTGTGATTACAGATAATGGTATGAAGCCAGATAGACAAAGTGTAGGGAAGGGTTATTCTTGATTGGCCATGATTAGATGATGGTAAGTTGTAGGGATGTAATATATGAAATATGGGCCCAAGGTTAGTAAATAACAGAAATCCGGAATGGCATGTATTTTCCTACACACCAGACATAATTCTCTCAGTGATGTAAGTAAAGCCAATGGAATAGACAATACTTTCATTAAGCGATGACATTGTCTCAAACAACAAAATTCTTTGATCTTTAATACTCCCTCCTGTTCGCCCCCAAACCCAATTGTATGCTTCAGGTCGAGTGTGGCAGATGCCCGTTTTCTAGCAGCTTCCAACTGACATGTTTTACTACTCTTACACTACCTGAACTCTGAAATCCATGGACTTACTGATTATATGCATGTTCCTATAAATTATATGGGCATCTCGTATCAGAAACCAAATCTCATTACTGTGGCTTTGCGTAGCTAAACCAAACAGTTTGTGATTTTAACCTCTTGTTGAAACAAAGACAATCCTCAAATATGTGTTAGCAAAAGTGACATTCACTTCTTGAAACCATTTCAGTTTGTTGTGTGTCTTAAAAAGAAGAATGGTTATCTATATTTACATAAACAATCATTTCATCCATTTATTTAATTCAGGCTCCGACTCTTAAATCCCATTTAAGTTTGTTTGCTGAAAACCGAGGTTGTGCCCAATACTATTCATGTAACACAGTTATATTTTTTATAACACTTTCTTAGCAGAGTACAGATTCTTAAAATTTTTAGGGTTGAGTCCCATCCAGGATTCGAACGCACACCCTCAGTGTGATCGAAAATACAAAGTCAGCGGTTTAACCCCCTCGGACACCAAAACTGGTAGTCCAGACGAAATACTTTGTGTACCCCTCTGACCCTAACTTAAAAAGTGGTAATTTTACATAACAAATGTGCATTACATGCAGACACTCACCAAATCTCAAGCACCCAGCCAAATTGAAATACATATGGAAATACTTTTTTTCCATTACAGATAACAGAAGCGACAAAACACTTTCCACATTCATGACATGAAGCTTGTTGAGGAAACGAGCAATTCATGATGAAAACATACCAAGCATGGATGACTCTGGCGTGGATGGGACTGCATCGGCAAAAGATCTGACAGGTAAACCAATATACATGTTTGACTGTTTAGAAAAACGTGGTCAGTTACACACACACACACACACACACACACACACACACACACACACACACACACACACACACACACTCTCTCTCTCTCTCTCTCTCTCTCTCAAAGACACACACACACACACACATTGAAACCGTAACTCGTACGTTAAAAACCGTATGTCAGTCATTCAGTTTAAAAAATGTATTCTTTACAATTGTGCAAAAAACAATACTTTGTGTCACTGTAGATTTTCATGGATGGCTTACAACTTATAACTTACAACACTGAACTCCATCAGTTGTTACGTTTTTGATACCAAAGCTGAAAATAGTTTACCGGGAAGGAGTCCAACAAAAAACAACAACAAAGAAATGTGCTGTACTTGCAATTCTAAATTTGTTGTATTCTAAAGTTAATTAAGTTCACAAATCAATACAAAGGTATCACTATGGCAATGCAAAATTGTGTGGTAGAAGTAATTCGCAGGTATTATAAAACAAGAGCAGTGATTATAGCAATAAAGACAATGATGGTACTGTTCACTTCTCAGGAACAGTAATTGAACATGGAAAAAGGATAAAGCAGATGATTTTGGAATAAGGTCCCCTGTATAAGGTCAGCCTTTAACTGATCATTTTGTCTAAATAAAATGTCTGGTAAAGTCTTAATATAACACTCGCTTCCCATTACTGAATCAACAGGTATAATATTTAACGGTTGAAACATTGTCACAGAAAGTATATGTAACATTATCGCCTAACACAATGAATTCAGTAACATCCCCATATACTGGACCTAATCATATTAATCACACATATCAATTAAACAATAGTAAAAATGCCGGCGCGTATGATCTTATTGGTTACTCAGTTACAACATGATATTGCAACTGCAAACATTTAGAGGTCATAACATGAAAGAAAGTGAGTCGTACGTCAATACACCTAAAGTATGTACCATTTAGTTGGAGAAAGTATATGTGGTATACTGCCAACGAAGATCAGGTGCATGACACTAAATGGCATCAACAAATGTTTGAAATTATGGCAGTATAAATGAGTTGTGTTTTCTGTGTCACTAACTCAATTTAACTCAAGCAATGGATTAATTAACATGTTCATATATTGGTGGACTTGATACTTAACACATAAAACATCAACAAAAGTAAACACACTGAAGTTCCTTTTTCAGGTTCATGTAAGAAGTGTCAGAGCGTTGAAAAGAGATACGGAGAAATATCCTGTGCTCCGAATTTGTTTGTCATTCACACGGAACGTTCCATTATTTGCGATGGGAAGAAATCTGGACATTTGAATGAAAAGAAAAAAGTAATTGGCAGAATAGATAAGGTTGTATCAGCCATAAGGAACAGTGGAGGTGGGGATCTGTTGGTCCACATTAACGGCCAGGAACCGGAAGATAGGTGTCTGGAACAGTTTGGTGAAGCAATTACAAAGCATTTGTCGGATCTCATTGAGGATGGACAATTGTATGTAGATGTATACAGAAGACAATGGCTGTCAGACCTATCCTTGTCTGATTTTCGGAATGATACTGACTTCATATTGCTGAATGTGAAAAAGGCACGTGGAGTAGCGACTGTGGATTTCAATACGAAAATACGGGACGATATTGCCAACGAAAATCCCTCATATATCACTGTAGCATGTTTACTATCCACAACCAAGCCAAAAGGAACACACAGTTCTGAATACCAGAGTACTCAAACTGACACTGTCGGCGGCAGTACGAGACAGAGTGCATCTTTGTTCCATAACCCACAGAAATATCACGAAAATAGGAACATAGAAAACAAGGCATTGAAAGCTGACATCTTGAGAAAGATTGGGAATTGTGATTCTAGTTTCACAGATCACATCTGGACGAACCTGAAACTAAAGGACAATGTGACGTCAATGTCAAAGGTGGAGAATGGAGGTTCCTTTTACGTTGGAATTGCTGAGCAGCAAAAGAAATACACAGAGTATGGCACCAAAGTGCCGCACATTGAAGGGTTTAAATTAGCACTTGACCCACAGGTCTTAACTGACTGTTTACTAAACAAGATCAAAGAAAACGTGATAGTTTTAAAAGATGGGACTTTCATTGATGCTCCAGATGACCTTGTTAAGGTACGCTTCCATAAGGTAGACAGTGGTTGTGTATTAGAAGTTGCCGTGCGGTATTGTGAAGGGATTGTTTTTTATGACAAAGAGGGGCCAAGGGCATACGAAGTGAAAGACAACAAAATTCGTCGTGTTGACAAAGAAGTGTGGTTACGACGTTTTAGTTGTCTACGAATGACAAGAGAGCATTGACTTCTTTCAAAATGTCAGACAGTGACTCCAGCGTGACCAGCTCGTACAGTTCTGATGGGCCATACTTCATGTCGTACGGGAAGACATATGATGGTACATCTGTCTCTAATGAACCTGACGGAAGTGCAATGATCTCAGGTAATAGAAAACAATTAGCAGTCCCTTTTAAAACAGGGGGGTTGTAGGATCTGACTTCATCAATCATCGTTACATCAGGACAAATAAGAAAACAGTTCTTGCACATCTAAGGGATATCTTTATAAATAATTTCTCTTTCATCGTCTATAAGATCATTCGAGTGATCGTTCTGTCACGTTAAAAGTAAAGACCATTGTCAAATATATTCATATTTCCTTTGAACATGCTTTTAGAAGACGTGATGTGCTGAGCCAAATCATATCCTTTTCTACGTATCCTGCGTAACAACATTTTCAAGACATGGGTCCAACAAGTCAAACTGTCCTGTATTGGTTACCATTTACTTTAGACAAAAGATAAAAAAAAATATATCTGAAACGGTCACGGCTGATTTACCAATAAGATCAAGGTCACAGTGAAGGAATATCAGTAAAGTTCGTTTGACAATGTCTAAGTATTGTTTATTCTTTCATCTTCGTAGTATGTCACCTGATGAAAACTTGGAGTATAGTTTATATCTTTCGAGGACTCTTACTTGAAAGTAACATTCAATCTCACGATCCCATAACTGAAGGGTCATGTTTATGTTCCGTAAGAAGATGACATTTAGTACATATCCTTTGGTAATATTTTTGTGGCTTTCACTGAAGGTAAGGTCACTGAAGTGGCCATCCACATGACAAGATGATTGATCTTATAAAGTATGGATGAGTTGAAATAAGGACAATAAACAGTAATAAACTTTGAGTGGATATAACGTGCTAGCTTTGCTCCAATAAGCAATACTTACGTTTCGAAGACATGAGCAAAATTTACCTTTAATATTGTGAGATATTCTTTACGTAATGAGTCAAATTCAAGGTCAGACTCGTCACAATCTCACCAAAGTCGGAAGAATTTCAGACCAACAAAAATGTGATTGTTAATCTTCATATGTTGGTGAAACTCCCCATTCAACAATACATGAAAATGAGATAGCATCCATAGTAGCCGATCGGGGTGTTTTACTTCCTAATGCATCGGGTAATATTCACTGTATAGTGCCAAATTACTTTCCCGACTACTCCTTCAATGTATTTCATCTACTAATTGAATGCCGAATGTACGACTCAACTTCACCACAGATGTGAGCTGCTATAACAAGTTACTACTCACAGCTGCCAAGACCCGTTCTTGTTCACAACCTTTGTCAGTTATTCAAATGGACCAAAGTGTCCCATCAATGAGGACAATCATCTTTTAAAGCATGGGTGTTGAGGAGGCATTGCACTGACAAGGATCAAAAGTCAATGATGTTGTTATTGGTAGAGCGGATAAAGTGAAAAACAAAACTGGAATATACTTATTCTGGCCTTGTCAGATATCATCAAAAGTATGGCTGCCCTGTAGTTTGAAGCCACTCACAAGATATTGTGTCACGAGCTCTTAGCGTTTTACACCAAGAAATTAGCAGGTTACAATCACGATATTGATACACCAATAACGTTGATTTGGCAAATGGCTTTCATTACAACGACAATGCAGATATATGTTATAAATGACTATGGTTTACATTTGCAGTTATTTGTAAAAATACAGTGACTCCAGATTAAACTGTTATCAAGTAATTGTATTACTGTTCAAACATTAATGTGTCTCTCGCCCTGATTTCAGATTACGTATTCCCATCAAGCGTACTATCACGGGCTGAGCAAAATGAAATGCTACGTATACTGCGTGAAGAATCAAAGCAACCGTGTGAGTAATTCCTCTACCATCCCATAGCCTTAAATGTGGAATTGATTTCATAACAGTAATTTCAGTTTTAACTTTAAACGAAAACGGCGGTACTTACATGTGTACATCATGACAATACAAGATTCTGACCGCCGGCATATAGCTGGAATATTGCTCAGTTCACATTAAACAACAGACCAATCAACAAACAAGCAAGATTCCAATACATATAAATACTTGATATTTCAAGGTGACGATAGAGTCATTGTTTTGCGTGTGTTTCAGCCGTTTGGATCTTTCCTCGAAGTGTGTGCAAGTACCTTTCAGCCGAGTTTTCCCAGATCACAGAGCGACTGGAGGAGCTGCTTCAACAAGACTGTGCTGTGATCATAGCAGGTCGTACTTTACTGAATCTTACAGAAGGATCATGGCAGGAGCGAGTACCCGAAAGCGTCATATGTAATGTTTGTGTTTTCTCGCCTGCACACCCTGTCATGATCCTCACGTTTTCTACTCCATCAAGCAGACCCGAGACAGCTGCTGGATACAACTCATGCTTGGCCAGGTCAATCATAAGAGCTGTAATTGACGAAACTCAGGTGAATTTTAATGTCTTTCGTGGAGTTATAGACGAGAATGTGTGTCAGACACGGGAGACATTCCTTGAAAGGATACAGCATTTGAAGAGCATCTCTCAAGTTCTGGGCTCTCTATCTAATCCTACTCAAGATATGGTCACCTTACTGGAACCCTTTCTAAAACTTCTACATGCTTCTCAGCTACAACAACAAAGTGACAGAGAGGTAACTGATATATATGCATATAAAATATGTTTCTATTTATATTTTTATACTATGTCTGATTGTATATTTTGTATTGTAATGTATTATAGGCCTGTGACGTTATTAAGTACTGAAATAAACATAGAAAGGTATGTATGTATGTATGTATGTATGTATGTGTGTGTGTGTGTGTGTGTGTGTGTGTGTGTGTGTGTGTGTGTGTGTGTGTGTGTGTGTGTGTGGTAGGTAGGTAGGTAGGTAGGTAGGTAGGTAGGTAGGTAGGTAGGTATGATTATCTTCCTTGAATAGCGTATTCGGTTTTTCTCACGCTCCTCGGAAAATCAAATTTTATTGCATACAAAATCCCTGCAATTTTGACTAAAGTTGATACACATCACGATGGGCATTCCGGTCGACGTTTGGAGAGTCAGGATTGGAAGATTTGTGCCTCCTAAGGGTGTGAGACAGAATGGGAATGGGCTACTGTCACTGAGGGATATTCTTCAGATGTTGGTTGTCATGAATCAGCCGATTGACCAGAAACTAATGATGTTAAGGACCGTCATTGTTGAGGTTGACCCCGAGTAACAATCCAAAGTGAGGACAGAACCCTACCCAAGAATTTCCTCCATGTCAAGCGGCGTGTTAAAAGCAGAATGGTTTCCACATCGTCGTTTGGTCCAACCGAACCTTCCGAACTCGACCGGGTGTTAGAGCCACACGTTAATTGTTATCCCCAGAGCACAAAGCAGGACGACTAACTTGGGGTCAAGCTGGAATTTGAGGACTTGGAGAAGGGTCCACTTGTTCATTATTTGGTTAACAAATGATGGCCATGCTTGTGTTTGGTTAAAATTGGTGTTCAGTAGCCATGCTTGTCGTAAGAGGCGACTAACGGGATCGGATGATCAGACTCGTTGACTTGGTTGACCCATATCATCGTATCCCAATTGGGTAGAACGATGCTAATGGATTGTCTGGTTCACACTCGATTATTTACGGACCGCCGCCATGTAGCTGGAATATTGTTGAGTGCGGCGTTAAACACAAGCATGGCCATCAGTTGTTAACCAACCAGCCACACTTATCAACGTCATACTACCATAGTTAACAACACTTGAAAATGAGTCAATTTTCTGTTATGTTCCCTTCTATGACTAAACTACAGTTTCCTTTTTGCGTTTATAGTTGCCATGTAATTATTCCCTACCAGCCTTAACGACGAAATTTTTAAGAGTTCTTACTCACTGTCCTCAGATATGCGCAACATGTTGACCATATATTAGAAGAACATATTCTTTATGTTCAATGTTATTACACGTTTAACACTGAAGTCTTGGCTATTGATATATCAGTTACATATTTATGCAACCATTATTTTCATACATCGATACATACATAGATACATAGATACATAGATACATACATGCATGCATATATACATACATACATACATACATACATACATACATACATACATACATACATACATACATACATACATACATACATACATACATACATACATACATACATACATACATACGTGGTCACTGTGGTGTGTGCTGGATCATTCTTGGGATCTTATGTGAAGGATTTAGAGTATTCTTGGATTCCACCAGCGGCTTTTTGTGCTAAAGGAGATGTGTGTGACAAATTTGCAAGTGTAACGTCACCATTGTATACGTGGCGAAATCAGGAGTCACTCGATTCGTATGTTGGTGATCTTGAATTCCGTATCGAGTATCAGGAACGAAGAGGCCGACGCAACAACATGGTTTTATACGGAGTACCGGAGGCTGAGGGACACAACCAAACTTACACTGAGAGTAAGACCAAGGTGTTGGAAATCCTCAGTGACGCCAGGAAATCAAAGGATTTGAATCTCTTGTGCCACGAGACATAGAAAGGCGTCACCGCATTACGAGTATAACTGCCAATAAAACCAGGCCCATAATTGTCCGCATGTGCCATTGGGAGGACAAATGGCACTCAGTGAAACTACGGAGCGTACTGAAGCAGAAAGGTGTCTGCATTGCAAACGACCTCACAAACCACCAGAGACAGGAACTATACAAGTTTCGTGGTGAGAATCCTAACACTAGGTTTTATTACAAAGGGAACAAACTTGTGAAAGATTCCCAGGGAGGACATTTCACAGGATTCTCAGAACCGCACCACTCAGCAGGATCAACCATCCAGTAGACAGCTCAGATCCCACGCTTCCACCAGGGGGCAGTCGCACTAGGGTTCTGGCCAGGGCCGAGTGAGGGTCAGTAATCCTAGTGATTCTAGGACGCTTCATCTGAATTTCCAGGCTCAGCTGAGGACAATGACTGTTGTGATATTTCTTTTCTGGAATATTTCACGCAAATACAATAAATTAAGCGACATTGACTTTGTCAATTATATCAAATCATTTGACATTATTGGAGTTACAGAAACCTGGTGTAATGATCTTGATCTAGGTAATGTTCTTCAAGATTTTGAAATTGTTAACAAAGATGCTGATACATTGTCCTCACATGGTAGACTCTCTGGTGGTATATCAGTCTTAGTTAGGAAGGAATTGTATATATATTTAAAACGGACAGATATATCAGAAAATGCTATTTTCATTTTATTTGACAAAACTCTTCGTGGAACAGAACATGATTTACTGTATTCTTGTGTGTATGTTCACCCAGAGAGCTCCTCATGGTATAATAAATTTAGTCCAACTTGTGAAAATAGCATCACTCTTTTCCAAGAGAAATTACTGGAATTATTATCAGTTCATAAAACTGTGCACTTATTATGTGGTGGTGACTTTAATGCCAGGACTGGGACCAAATCTGACTTTGTTGAGGAGGGCATATTAGAGTATACTGAGAATCATAGTCACTTCATGTCTGATTTCATATCTGACTATTTTCATCTTAAACGGTTTTCTCTTGATAAAATTGTCCACAACTTTGGAAGATGTTTAATTGGTTTATGCTCAGTTTTGAATATTCATATAATGAATGGAAGATGCGGTACTGATGAAAGTGTTGGTGATTTCACTTTTATTGGCGAAAATGGTACAAGTGTAATTGACTATATTGTAGCTTCTTCCATAATATTTGAAAATGTTTTAAATTTTGGAGTTGAATCTCGCTCAGATTCCACTCACCTGCCAGTTACACTGAAACTGCGAGTACCCAAAAGGCATTATCCTTCCAGGGATAGGAATGATCAAGGCAATACACCATTTAAGTTTGTCTGGGATAATGACAATTTGCAAGATTTTAGAGATCAACTTTTTTCTGACCCACTTCCAGAGTTACTTGATAATTCAGTTGATACAGCATTGTCAAATGTTGATGTGAGCATTAATTATTTAGTAGATGCTTTGAAATTGGCTGGTTCAGACATGAAAATACCTGTTGGAAAACCTAAATCAAAACAGTTGAGTAAATGGTATGATGCTGAATGTGATCTCTTAAAGAAGAAAACATGTAGGGCTCTTAATCATTTTAGAAGTTGTAAGGACGAAGAATCTCTCAGATATTATCACAACATTAGAAACAAATATACTGCTATTTGCAAAGGAAAAAGGCAAAAGTACTTTCAAGAGAAAAATCAACTATTGCAAAACAGTGTTCATGATTCCAAATTTTTTGGACAGAACTTAACATTCTAGGTAAAGATCAGAAGGTGAATAATATCAACATTAGCGACTGGTACCGTTATTTTAAAGACTTATGTTCATTCACTGATACTGAATTGCCCTGTGCTTATCAGACTCAAGAGACACAAGGTGATACCCAACCACATCCAGATACTCAGTTTGTAAATGATGTACTTGATTCCCTTATTAGTAGAGAGGAGATTCGGGAGAGTATTCACCATCTTAAAAATAACAAATCACCAGACTTAGACCAGATTATTCCAGAGTTTTTTAAACACTCATCAAATATTATTGTGCCTTATCTTGAACTTATATTCAATGTCATTCTAGAAAATGGAACATTTCCAGAATCATGGTCAGTAGGAATAATTGTACCGATACATAAACAAGGAAATCTGAATAACATAAACAATTATAGAGGCATTACTCTACTTAGTATATTTGGCAAAATATTTAACCTATATAATCAACAAAAGGTAAATTTTCAATAAAATTAATGAGGAACAAGCAGGTTTTAAAGAAGGTTATTCAACAATATTGATAATGTACCTTTAGTAAATACTTACCTTAGTGTCAGGGATATTTTACGTACTCTCGGTTGACTTTGCCAAGGCATTTGACTCAGTGCAGAGACATAAGCTATGGAGTCTTTTAAAAACTCATGGTCTAAGTATCAAAATGAATAAACTTTTATGTATTATTTATGACAAAGTTAAAGTATGTGTACGTAGCAATAATGAAATTTCAAAAACTTTTATCAGCCAGTTAGGAGTTAAACAAGGGTGCATTTTAAGTCCGTTTCTATTTACTTTTTTCATTACTGAATTAGCTACTCAAAGTAATGAGAACTGCAATCACGGTATCCAGCTTCATCCAGATATAACCCAGTTATTCTTACTGTTGTTTGCAGATGATATTATTCTGTTTTCATCCACAGTCTACAGAGAAAAATCAATGAACTTGAAACTTACTGTGATGAATGGAAATTAACAGTCAGCAGAAATAAAACAAAAGTTCTTTTATTTAAGAATGGGGGTCAGTTATCACGTAGTGAGTATTGTTTTTTTAAAGGAGAAAAGTTAGAAACTACAGGATTTTATAAATCTCTATGTGTTTACTTCAGTAGTGATCTGTTATGGAAGAAACATTCATATCAGGCAGCAATCCAAGCAAAAAGGGCTTTTGTAAGTAGTTTCAAACACTTGAGTTTGTTGGGAAATATTTCATACCAATCATTTTTCAAAATATTTGATGTTAAAATACTCCCAATTTTATTATATGGTTCAGAAGTGTGGGGTTTACAAAAGTTTGATGTGATAGAAAAATTCATTTATATGCCTTTAAAACATTCTTAGGTGTGAAAATAAGTACATCTAGCCTGATGGTATATGGTGAGTGTGGTCGGTTTCCACTTTATCTACACTTAAATATTAGGGTTATCAAATACTGGTTAAGACTTCTTGATATGCCTTCATACAGACTCCCAATAAAATGTTATAATATGATGTTACTTTATGATAAAAATGGAATGATAAACTGGGTTACTGGAGTTAGAGAGTTACTTTTCAGTAGTGGTTACGGACAAATTTGGCAAAATCAGAATGTGTATTCAAAATAAAATTTTGTGTTGTCATTAACACAAAGGCTAAAAGATATGTATATACAGACATGGACTGCTTCACTGGCTTTATCAAATAAGTGTTTTTATTACAAACTGTTTAAATCACAAATAAGACAGGAAGATTACCTTTATAAGATTACCGTTAAAAAGTTCGGAACTGCTCTTTCACGTTTTAGATGTTCCTCCCATGATCGTTTTATTGAAACGGGACGTTATAAAAAAATTAATTGGGACCAAAGAATTTGTAATGTTTGTAACTTAAGTTCAGTTGAAGATGAATATCATTTTCTGATTGTATGTCCTGTTGACTTACAACTGAGAGAAAGATATCTGCAACCCTATTACTTTACATACCCAAATTTAACTAAATATTTCATTTATTGTTATCAAATACAAATGGTAAAGTTCTGCAAGATTTAGCTATGTTCATTTATCATGCATCCATTTACATATGTAACATAATTGCAAAATGAGTCTGCAATCTAGCTGGATGAGCTTTTACAATTCTATTTATATTTTTATACTATGTCTGATTGTATATTTTGTATTTTAATGTACTTTAGGCCTGTGGCCTTATTAAGTACTGAAATAAACATGGAAATGTATGTATGTATGTATGTATGTACGTATGTACGTATGTACGTACGTACGTACGTATGTACGTATGTATGTATGTATGTATGTATGTATTATGTATATGTAATGTATGTGTATAAAATGTATGTATCTCTGTGTATGAATGTACGTAAGTATGTATGTATTACATAAATAAAAACAGAATGCCTTTTTCCCCAGCATGTTTCGTTCTTTACTCTTCAGGGATATATAATGTATATATATTTTGAGCCCAGATATTTCTGCTTGCCAAAACTCCTTTATATCAGCACAAGATCTTTCGCCGTTCAACGGCTCTTCAGGTGGATGGATGGATGGATGGATGGATGGATGGATGGATGGGTGTCTGTCGTTAAGGCTGGTAGGGAGTAATAAAATGGCAAATCTAAACGCAAAAAGAAACTAAACTGTAGTTTATTCAGAGAAGGAAACATGACAGAAAATTGACTCATTTTCAAGTGTTGTTATCTATGGTACAATGTAGTATGACGTTAATAAGTGTGGTTGATTGGAGGGTTGGTTTGTTTGTTGTTTAACGCCGTACTCAATAATATTCCAGTCACATGGCGGCGGTCCGTAAATAATCGAGTCTGAACCAGACAATCCATGAGCATCGTTCTACCAAATTGGCATACGATGATATATGTGTCAACCAAGTCAGCGAGTCTGACCATCTGATCCCGTTAGTCGCCTCTTACGACAGGCATGGGCTACCGGAGACCAATTTTAACCCGGATCTTCACGGATCTAATAAGTGTGGTCAATTTCAAGATTCTGGCATTCATTGCCCAAGAAATTACACAAGTATCAATGAAGGAGCACAATGTCAATATCTTGTGTAACCTTTGTCAACTGCAATAACTCCCATTACCCTCCTCCTCATTAAGTGTATCACAGCCACACAGGGCGTTTTCCAATACATCAAGATTTGATACTGGAGAGTATCTCTGGTATATTCATAATGCCCAAACATGCTCCATGTGATTGAGATTTGGACTAGTGTTCAGAGGATGGTGATCGAAATCTGGTACAACAGTCTTGTCAAGGATATCAATGATGTAACGTCGTCCATTCAGAGTTTGTCTGATCGTCACAAAGTCAGGTTTACAGCCATGTAAGAGGCACTGCCACATCATCAGTTAATCCCCACCAAATGGTACTTGCTGTAAAATATTCTGTTGGGCATATGCAGTGTTTCTGCGGCGCCAATCACAAGCATGGCCATCATTTGTTAACCAAATTATGAACAAGTGGACCCTTCTCCAAGACCTCAAATTCCAGCTTGACCCCAAGTTAGTCGTGCTGCTTTGTGCTCTGGGGATAACAATTAACGTGTGGCTCTAACACCCGGTCGATTTCGGAAGGTTCGGCTGGACCAAACGACGACGTGGAAGCCATTCTGTTTTTAACACGCCGCTTGACATTGCTACTCGTGGTCAACCTAAACAATGACGGTCCTTAACATCATTAGTTTCAATCGGCTGATAGTTGATGGATGACAACAAACTTCTCCTGAAAAATATCCCTCAGTGATATGATGCCTTCCACACACCAATACGTTGCAATCTTCGCACAGTTGTCGAGCAGGCCCCATATTTGCTTATCAACAGCGAAATCAAATTGATTTTCCAATTTTTGTAACTGTAAGAACAGTTACATGTAACTGAAACTTGATATTTGCTTAATGACGTTTACACGTATTCCACGTGATGCTCACCCTTATTCGTAGCACGTGCATATCTAAAATCAATGCATGGTGTAACCGAAGAGTAAAACATAATCATACAAGTAAACATAGTTTTAATATGGAATAACTAAATGGAGGTTAAAAAGCAAAGTGTTGTGATACCTTTTTCTATGAATACAAGTATATGATCACCGTCCAGAACCAATTTAATACCCCCTTAACCCCGATATTCACTTACAGACAACTTATATTTCTCTCCATAAAAATGCTGTCAATTTGTTTTGTTTCTGTTTATTCACAGAGCCAGGAACAAGGCACAGTGACAGGTTTGGAAATAATTTATATTACTTTTGCCCAGTTTTGCCACGAGGTAATAACTGAATAGGCAAGGCTAAATATAACCGATTGATTGGTTTAACCAAACCCTCGAAACTATTAATGACAGTGAACATGTTGCATAAGCACATTTGTTTATAAGATTTTCATGTTGTCACAGAAACGACTAGAATGCAGGAGGCTTCCCATCCTGGATTAGATACAGCTGCAGATGAAAAGAGGATAGTATCAGCACTTTCTGGACTACCCGCTACTGACAAATCTCCAAATCTGGAGGCAGCTACTACTGGTGCAAATGACAATGGACATGCCCCTATTCAAAGACGAGAGGTGTGTATTCATGTTTTTTAAAGCATGCCCATGAAGAAAGGTATCGAGCGCAAATACTTTGTTTGCTTACTTTTGTGACAACTGTTTTTGAAGTTAATATGTATTTGCTGTAAGACGAAGCCACTGAATTGTTGTGAACAGGCATTTAGTGTGTATCCATAGCTTTCGGCCATCAGAGGGCTACACAACATGCATGATCTGAAGTACCAGTTGTCAGACTCCCATTTTGTGAAGGCCTTGGTGGCTGAGTGGGTTATGCTGTTGACTGTTAACTGGTGATTAGGCGATACGGGTTTGAAGCCCGTTTGGGACTTCAACCCCCGGAATGTAAAACAATGTGTTGTTCAGAAAGAAAGCGTTTTCGCAAATATAATATATCTGTCTATTACAGTCATATTTATGACCGACTTTAGTAGTTCTAATCCAAGTTTCGACATGATTTTATTTCTTGGTGTGTCTCTCAATACTCCTAAGCCTGTACGTCAATTAGACCAGTGAAGTAATCATCTAAGATTGCATTTTTCAAGGTTTCTTCTCGCAACGTGCTTGATAAAACTGAAAAAAACCCAGAGAAAACCAAAACCCGTGCTTGGCTTTTTCTCGGATATAAATTTCGTTACGTTACCGTTTGTCTTTTTAGGTGACATTCAAGTGTTCACTTCCAAGTCAATCGAGAGTTACCCCTTCCCATCTTTGCTTCGTCTGATATACATAGCTACCACTACATCTTCTCTGATGTAATAGAGAACATAAATGACTATTCAATATATACTGAGTCAAAAAAGAAACTTCACAAAATGTAATTTGAAAAATAATGTATAATTTTTCTCTGATGATACATCTATGTATCCGAAATGGGATCCTTATCTTTCGACTCTGGAAAAAACGTTAGCAAAACCCACTCAAACCCATCCATTCCTCGTGCAAATGACGTTAGTGCCAAATCAGGTTTTGCACGTGCAGTCGATCACGTGATCTTCGCATCGAAGTTTTCTTCATATGCACGTGTTTGCATTGGCCTCAAGAATTGAAAAAACACTTTTAAACCACAGTTCTAACGGTACTTGAAATGCCACGATTGTCAAATGTGCAACGTGAATGTGCCGTTGGCATGTTGCAAGCGGGAAGATCAGTTATTGACGTCGCAAGAGCAATGGGATGCAGCCGTCGTACTGTGTATGACTTGCGAGGTCGTTTACAACAAACTGGCACCACTTCTGATCGCCCAAGGTCGGGTCGTCCACGTGTGACGTCACGAGCAGAAGACCGTCAAATCGTCCTACGTCACCTACGTGACAGATTTCTGCCGGCTTCACGAACCAGGGCTGAGATGTTTAGAGGTCGACTGTCCTCACAGACAATTCGAAATCGGTTGCGGGCTGCCAATCTCCATTCTCGACGTCCATATCGTGGGCCAATATTGACGCCGTTTCATCAACGTCAACGTCTGCTGTGGGCCCAACGTCACCTCCGATGGACCCAGAGAGACTGGAATCGAGTCGTCTTTAGCGATGAATCCAGGTTTACCCTCAGATTCGCGGACGGCAGGCATAGAGTCTGGAGACGACGTCGTGAACGGTATACCCAATGTTGTGTACAGGAAGTCGACAGATTTGGGGCGGAAATTGCATGGTGTGTGGTGCTTTCTGGGGGAACAAGCGTTCCCGACTGCTGGTGATCCGTGGAAACCTCACAGCTGCTGTATACCGCGACCAGGTGCTCACCCCTGAACTCGTTCCTTTCATGGAGGTTCATGGCCCAGGTCTACAGTTCCAGCATGATAATGCTCGGCCGCATACTGCGATGTTGACACGAAATTCCCTTCAAAACGCTGGAAAAAGCGTCATGGAATCAACGTCATGGACTGGCCATCGAGGTCCACGGACCTTAATCCAATAGAGCACGTTTGGGATGCACTTGGAAGAAGGCTTCGTGGTCTTAGGAACCAACCTCAGAATTTGCAGGAACTTGGCGCTACCTTGCAAGAGCAATGGCGCAGAATCCCCAACCACGTGTTCACAAGCATCAGGCAGTCGATGAAGAGAAGGTGTTTGGCAGTGATGAATGCGCGGGGCGGCCATACACGATATTGAGCTGAGAAATTTCGCATTTTTATTCTGGTGACTTGACATTCTGTATACCCATGTTTTGGAACGGCGGTGTAGCCTAATGGAACTGATTATGGCACTGTCAGTGTATCGAGTACATCACACAGATCTCAGCAATGAAATAATAACAATTTAACCATCTTACCATCTCTTGTACTTTTAAAGTGCCCTGAAGAAAGAATGTGAAGTTTCTTTTTTGACTCAGTATAGTATCTACTGAACTCAAAAACTAACTAGCTGACGTGAATGTATTTGGCCATAAAGCATGAGGAAAATGCTGCTAGCACATGCCTCACTGGGAGAGACGGTCATAATGCCACTATCTCTCTGGAACTCTTTACAGCGTACCACATAGTGTTACATAGTTTTTCAGACAATACTGAGGACAGTCTGGCACTTGTCGTGTGGTTATAGAGACTTTTGGTTCGAAGGTGTTGACAACTTGGAAGTAATTGTGTTGGACTTTTCTTGGGACACATTTTCCTTTGGCAGCAATCTAACGTGTCGTCTGTTCCGTCGGTATTGTCCTGAATGAGTCCTCTGCACAATGTAAGATCTTAGTCCTACCTATTTCACCAGAGTTCCTGTCTCAGCTCTCTCAGGAATCCATGCTTCATCTCCCCTTGTGAGAGCCGGTAGAGACCGTACAACATGTCGTCTTTTGAAGTTGAACTGTTCAGTCTGGCGTTTGTGCTGTTCATGATTAAGGAGTTTTGATGTATCTCGGGTCTTAACATTCAGGATCTATTGGACGTTTTGTGAGGAGTTTCTTTGACATCAGTTCAGCTGAACTATTGCCACGGCGTAATGGAGTGGCACGACGGCTAAGTAGTGCTGAGTATGGATCTTCAGATGACTTCAGGAGAGTCTTTTTGCTTCTAACTGCTTGCTCAGCTTATTTCGGATCACATGTGGAAATGAGCATACTCCTTGATGAATCTTGCAAATTCATCTGCAGCATATTGAGGTCCATTGTCTGAGACCATCACTTCCGGAATACCATGTCTGGCAAAACCACTCTTCAAACTGTTGGTCATAGCTTTTGACGTGGTAGATGAGAGTTTGGAGATCTCAATAACTGAACTTTTTTCCCCATACAGATTTACTAGTCTTTCACATAACCCACTGCAACAGCTTTCTCCTCCTGCAGACTTTGGTTTGTGTTTGACTCGTAAGAGTCGACACTTAAGTTCTTCATTTTTAATGCCCAAAAGCATTGCGACCCCGCACTAATGAGTACCTTAACTCACCAAATTCACGCTTGGCACACTTGTTTCTAATGTCAGTGTGAAATGTATCAAATTTCTCTTCGGGATCCTGATTTTACTTCCGAAAATGTATCGTTCAAAAGTTATATTTTTCCTTGGGTTACAGTACTCTGCAAACTTTGCCATTAATATCTTCCTTGAATCTCGGTCCTCTTCACGTGCAAATTAGAATGTGTTGTAAAAGAGTCTGTCCTCTTTACCAATGACACGTAAGAGCGTATTAGTCTGGATTTTAGCAGGTTTCTTGTCTAGGTCACTTACGAAAGCATACATATCGAATTCCTGTCTCCAAACTCAGCACTTTTGCGTGGAATACCCTCGCCCGCTTAGTGACATGCATTGGGTCAATGATTTATAAAGCGTAATGCGCGTGCCGATTGTTTCTGAGTTACTTTCCGGTTACTCAACCTACGTTTGAGGAATGTTCCAATCTCAGCAGACACTTCTGTAACCACGTTTCGTTACCATTGGCCTTTTGAGGTCTTCTAAATAAGACAAAAGGGTGACATTCTCGTGTTTACTTCCAAGTCAATCGAGTATTACCTCCCTTCCTAGCCTTGCTTCGACTGTTATACATAGCTACTACAACACACTTGATTGCCACTTTATGTGAAAATGACAATGAGGCAGGCTTGTTTCACTGTTGAAAGCAATGACAGCATTTTTTCAGGTACACTGCTGCATCCTTTCAAATGCCGTTTTCCAACTACAAATACTCAGTATTTCACCCAAACTGGTTGCAATGTAAAGAAGAAAAATAAATGTGCAATTTCACAAAATATAATGTTTAACAGAGTCGTATGTCATGAGATATTGTTTTTCTTCGTAGATTTACAAATATTTGTCATTTTACCTCCTGTAAGTCCATTGTAATGAAACTAAAGTAAAATATAATACAGTATTTAAGGTTTTCAATTATATAAAAATGTGTAAGAAATTCAAATATATCAATAAAATGCATGTGTCACTCAAGGTTAGTGTTTTATCAAAGAAAAAGATGGTAAGGGTAATTCTATAAAATCACTTAAGGGGAGATAACTCTGTAAATGTGGTTTTCAGAAAGAGACATGACTTGCTTTTTAGTATATATACATGTAGTTGGACATGTATTTAAAGTGTAATAAGTATCCAACATTTCTTCATCATACGAAACAGGTCATCAGGCCCGAAAAACATGCAAGCATGCACGCACACACGTGAAGTATCCTGAAGCAACGTGTGAAGGTACCACCTCGGTGTTTCCTAGACATGTAAATGCAGCCTGAAATGCAACAGAGGATTCAAGAAGTTGAAGTGGATGCACTTTCCCCTTTCGAACGAAAGCTGAAGTATAGTCACATCCAGTAAATGCATGAGATGACGGCAAGGAGTCAGATACCCCTTTCCGAATGACCTTGGCAATTGCATTAAAGTTTATGTATCTCCTTGTATTGTTGCTGCTGTGACCTGTGTCCATCCAAATCTTTATATGTGGTGATTCAAACGTACAAGGAATCAGTGGATATGTGTGCTTTCTTCAAATCTTGGCAGATATTGTAGATATGAAAAATGATTCTTGCCTCTTCATGTGTACATTAAAGATGTGGAACAACAGTCCTCACCACAATTCCCTTGTCAGCGGCAA